ATAATAATGAACAACTATATACCAGAGACATTTTATGGGGCTGGAGTGGGGAATGGGGAAAGGGGCAAGTACACAGGACTATGGTGTTTGCATATGGGTGATTTGGTGATGCGAAGCCCAGGAGAATACAATTGAGATAGAAAAAGTCACAAAATGATGTAAAAATAAACTGTTGTAATTAAAATAAATAAATAAACTCTTAAAAAAAAAACTAGTATTCAGAAGTGACTGGAAAGCAATATTTGGGTGGTAGTGGAAAAGCAGAATCTGGAAACTTCTTTGGTGCTTTGTTTTTGTAGCTTCATTCTAGTAATCAGATCAGTTAATTGTTACTTCCACAATTGTAGGCCACTTGACTTTGCCATTTTGTTTACTCACCAAAGTTTTGCCTGCACTTTGTGGGTGAAAATATTCTGTCACTGCCCTCTTGTGATTCCCAAATATGAGGTTCACAAACCAAGTCTGAAGTCAAAATCTCTTTATCCATGCTCTCAATGCATTAGAAAAATATTAGGTTCTGTAAGAAAAATCATAGTCAATATGATGTTTTCCAATACATTTCCTCCCTCTCTCAATTTTAAATTAAAATAATGAATTTATAACTGTCATCTCCAGTGATAGTATCTTAACTGTTCTGCATTCAAAAATGTCCCATTCTGCAGCTTGCATTTCTAAGATTCCTCATAAGATAATATTATTAAGAAAGATAAGCAATGAATGAAACCTTACATAGAAAGGGAAATTACATTTGCTAGTTGATTTTTGGGCACCTCTTGTAGAAACCTCATAATCAATAATGTGTGATGAGTGTGTGTGTGGTTAGATTTATTCAGTCATTATCACTCTTCCACTTGTATTTCACAGTGCTGGGCAAATAGTAAGTGAAGTGTTTGGAGTTTTTTTTTTTTTATATTACCCTCAATAAATGGGTTTAACTACAACACAAATCTTATAATCCACCTCTTCAATTCCACTGGCAATGGGACAAATCCAGTAGCTTTAGAGGTAAGCCTTCAAATATACTTCTACTGACAGACTGAAGTTTGTTTTAGGAAAGTCAAGGTTCTGCAATCCTTTGCATTTATTGAAGTTTTCTGTTTCCATGGTTTCCAAGAGTTCACTGAAATTAGACTTTCAGTGTTTAGAAGTTCATGATGTGAGGCTTTGGCAAATTCCTTCTCTCTTACCTAGATTATGTTTAAGATCTGTACATTGCTATCCCCGAATGAATTTTGGTGGCTATTGTACTGTCAACATGGCTTTTCCCCAGACTGACAAAAAAACCCAGGATCGATACAAGGTATCTCTAGTTAATCTGTATGAAGCCAAATTGGGGCTGCTTTCTGGCAGCATGGAAAAATAAAAATTACTTATTTTCAGTGAAAAACTGCCATCCAAGGGATTAGTAAGGAAGTTTAGGCTTGTTCTTGGGCCTTTGGCATGGAGGGGTGCCCTGACAAATAGGAAAAAAAAAAAAAAAAAAATCCAAAAGCCTTGCCTTTTTTTTTGCTGAAGAATAACAAAATCTTCTGGGATGGTATGCATCCTGGAATGATTTATGCTGTGCTCCCAAGGTACATAGAAGTTGTCTACAATGTTGGTTGAGTCTGTATTTGGCAGTGAAGCAATGTATATGATTTCTGTACAATTGTTACCAGGCTTTTATGTACAGCCCAGATTATGAAGGACCCTCAAGTGGTTACTAAAAAGGCTCAGTTGCCACATCACTTACATAACACTTCAATCTGAACCTAAATGTACTGTCTCCATTATGTGGGGCTCAAGCCCACACTTCTAGCTGTTGCTTCTCACAAAAATGAGTTTATGATTGGTCTTTGTTAACTAATGCTGTAAGAAGCAGAAAAGACAAATAAAACCTGAACAGAAAGATATCAAAAAGGGTATATGAGAATATATCTGTGTCTACAAGGAGCTACCTAGATGACTTGGGAATACTTTTAGGGAAAGGTACAAAATCCCAAAGCAAGTAGGTGTAAGTAGCACTTCAAGTGTCTGGTTAGCACTTTACTTTGTACTTAAAACAATTGGAAGCAGGTTGTGGGTGGGTGTGTTTCATATGCAAAGGTAAACAATCCACATTCAGTTTGGAGGTTGCAAAGGTTTCCAGGGGTGGTTGGAGAAGAGAGAACAACAACTCACTCATGCCGAAGGTGACCTGTAGAAGGAAGAAAACCCTGGAATATCACATGGCACCCTTGTAAAATATGATAGCAGGCACATCCGGGCCTCCTGAGCACCAGGCCTGAATGATTGCTTGTCAGGCAGATGTGTTTGTCAACTAATGACTTTCAGAGTGTGATGAGACTGCAAATGAAGCCTAATTGCTGTCACTGATTTAACCCTTGGAATGCTTCCAGGCATGCCAATAGCCATGTGTCTTTAATCATGTAAGTTAATCACCTTCAGGCATATATCAAAAAGAAAGAAAAAAGAAACAGCGACTTATTAGAATCTAGGAAGCACTGCTATTGTGCTATTAAGTTTGCATTTCTGGGGCTGTCATCTCTTCAAAGAAGGACACTGGGTGTACCTTAATCTAGTGTTGGTTGGTAACAAATGACACAGGCAATTATTTGGCTCTGTAATGCAGAGAAAAATAAATGAATGTTTATTGTCAAGACTAAAAATCTCTTTAACGATAGTGGAGTGGGAATAACAAGTCACCTTGATCTTCATATTGCCACCATGAAGTAGCCAGTCCAGCTCTGAGAGAAAGTCAGAATCGGAAAATGGTCTAATAATCAGGCCAGTCTGATTAATAGTGACAATTAGTATTAGACTATCGTGCATAACCAACTGATTATGAATCATTTGAGCACTTTAGGTAAATTTTCAATACAGGCAATTAAAATGAAAAGACTCATGATGCTTACATAATGACTTCATTAAATTAATTCATTTTTGAGGTTGGGCAGAATTTTCTTTTGTCACAAGGAACCAACCAAATTTGACTTCAATTCACTTTTGTTTAAAAGAAAGAAAACATTGAAAAGATATACACACACACACACACACACACACACACACACCCCACATCAAAACAGCTTATTCTTTTCTGAAAGTGAACTATGTTACTCTGGAAGAAAGAACTGAAGGTCAGAGCACAAATTGTATTCGCATCACTTATTTGGATGAAGTAAATCTGCCCTCAGTTATAGTTCGTATTCTGCTAAATGCATCCATTGTTAAGGTTAAAAGAACTTTATTGTGGAGTGATCTGTAAGAGCCAGACACTTCAAAGATAAATACTTAGTTCTGTTACATAAACAATTGACCCAAATCATTTGCTTGATGATGGAAGACAAAGCTGGAGCCAAGTCCAGACACTGCTGTATCAGTGCAGTAAGGGGAACAAAGCTTCCTTGAGGTGAAGTGCAGTCCTTCAATCAAAGTGGTCAGGTTTGTAGAATCAATGAGATGGAAGAGACTCTTTCTGGCTAACAGTGAGTGGGAATGTTCTATAGTGAAGTCACTGTCTCTTGTAGGTTTTGATTCATGAAATCGCTTTGCTTCCAAGACTCACCATGTTTTCAACTAACGTGTACACAAACTTATGGTTTAGAAAGTATATCTGTACTTAAGTTATACAAATCCTCTGTAAACTTGCTGTTATGTGTATTACTGATTATTTAGCAGTTCAGAATTTATAAAACTGTGTTTTAATTCTTTTAATTACCTTTATCCCTATCACCCATTGTAAAGATGAGATAGGAAGCCTCAAAAAGCTGAAGTGTTATCATTTGTCCAAAATCACAGGACTCTTAATAACAAAAACCAGGTGGTTGACCTACATACTTCCTCTTATTAATAATAGTTATTAATACCCATTTTTCTACTTTGTTAATGACCCTTTTCAGAATTACAGGCAATGTGTTCTTCTCTAGGTCAATCTTGGAGAACAACACTTTAATTCTAGTTTGTCTGTTATAATATTTCTTGAATTTGTATTTTAATCTCAGTTGGCCTAGAGTCTGGGTGAAAGCAGATACTGTAGTTTCTAGCATAACAGAGTAACTTGTGCAAACTCCCATTAACAAACACCATTATTTCCCATTAACAAACACAGTATTTCTCCTGCAGTGCAGAGCAACCAAAGGCAGCCACGTAGCCTTGTGTGGGGCTGACCCTGCAAGAGTGACTCAGCATACTCAACTCAGCAGCTTCTGAAAGTGAGCCTCACTTGATAGAGCAAAATGACAAGGAGCAAATAGCACAGATTATGGAATCATACACTTAAGTGAAATCAAAATGTTAAATCTAGTAATGCCTGACCTTTACTTGGTTTCTTTTAATGGTGTCACCAAGCACTGCTATCTGAACAGCATTCCTCAGTGGTATTGTTACAGGGCCACCCAAAAGAGAAGTGGGGTGAAGGGGATGTGAATCCTTACATTGTGTTTAGAAATTCAAGACAAGTCTCAAGAGCAGGAGCCCAGAGAAAGTTAACAAAAGATTTATTTCCAAGGGAAATGAATAGAGGGTATACAGAGAGAGAGAGAGAAAGCTTATTTGGTCAATGTGTCCTATTAGTAATGCTGCCTAAAATAGGACCCTAAGTACACAGTGAATACAGTCAAAAACCCAATTCCCTCCAGGTACACATGTGCTCATTTTTATAGCAAGCATGGATGTTTGACCCCTTTTGTTGCAACATCTCCCTTCAAGAATTCAAGAGTTATGGCAGATTCATAGTTTGATGGGAGTTGTAATGCCTGGCATCTCTTTGGCATAGAAGTGGGGGTAGAGTTCATAAATCATCTGCAAGTAGGACATACTGTTCCCCTCCCCCAACATCATTTCACCCTGATGGGTGTTTCTGGAGAGCTCAGAAGGCAAGTATGTCTGCATGTGCACATGCGTTTCTTATGCATACATGCTTCTGTATCACTGTATCTGCTCATTATTTCTCTCCTTCCTTTTAATGTAATCTTTTCCCTCTTACTTCCTGCCATCATTTCCCTTTGATTCCTTTCCTTCAGATGGTAGGTCTTGGGCTAAGGTTCTAGTTCAACCAATTACTGACAGGTTTGCTTATCTATCAAATTCAAATCCCAAGGATTTGACTCACACAGCTGTTTACACCAAATGTCATCCTGTGTACGAAGGCACTCTGTAAGGTGATATGTAACAGGAGACTGCCTGTCTTTCCTACAAAAGCAAATAGATAAAAAAGCAAATAGGAACTTGGGAAGAAAAAGTCTCAGAAATCTCACCACCTTCTTTTACTTCTGTTTTCTGATCCTGATGATAATCACCACGGCCCTCATTTCTCAGTGGGCCTGGCTTAAATTCTCAGGTCAGATGACCATTCCCTGCTCAGTGACTGTGCTTTACTCCCCTCTTCACCAGCATAGCATCAGTCATGTCTGACTGTGGTGTCTTGGTATAACTGGGTGACCTCAGTCTCACTACCTTTGTCATATTTTGAATACAGATATTTTGGGTCCCACTGGTAGGTATTTCTTTATCCAAGAAGAATTTCTTTACAGACATCAGTTGTAGCAGTCCTGGCTTCTCAGTAGTAGATTATGTAGGCCTCAGTTTTTCCTAAAAAGGGAAGGTTTGGTATTTGTTATTTTTACATTTTCATTGAATTAATATTGGCTTACATCGTTTCCATGATAGAAGTGTAGACTCCTCACCTCAGGTATTGCTGCCATAGTGCATGCACATCCTTGAGCTCCCTCCTTTCTTTGTTCCTCTTCCTCTTCACTCTCCCCTGCCCTCTGGCTAAAGGGCAGGTTTTGGAGACTGAAATTTGAATACTGGCTCCACCTTTTACCAGCTTTGATAGTAGGTATCTGATGTAACACTCTGATCTTGCCAACCACCTAGTGGTTACTTGAAAAAGTAAAACTCCTGACATGAAGGCCTGCCCAAGGAGGTGCTCAAGCACGCTTTACTTCTTTCTCTCTTGACTGTTACAGGGGACCGTTCCCATGTTTTTCATTATTCTAACTCACCTTTTCTTTCAATTCTCATTCATGATTTATTATTTCTTTAAAAGATTTATTTATGTATGCATACATAACTGGGGTACAGGCCTGAGGTGCCGGGGCTGTAAGAGGATTCACCAGAGACAGTCAGGGCAGAACAGGCCGATTGACAAAGTACACTGCTGAGGGCAGCAGCAGGGAGACAGGAGCGGTCTGCCACACCATGTGGATCACCTCCCGGGCAGGGATCAAACTCATGCTGAAGTGACGTTAGCTTCCTGGTGCTGTGCTTTAACCTGCTGCATCACCAAGAAGAGTCCTGATTTATTTAATTGTTAAGGATTTATTTATTTATTTATTTATGTATACAAGAACTGCAATGTTGGCAAGGGTACAGAGGGTGAGAGGATTCACCAGAGACAAAGTGGGGAGCAAAACAGGTAAATCTACTGAAATACACTATGGAGGGGAGCAGGAGGTGAGACAGGAGAGGTCTGCTGTGCCATGTGGGTCAACTCTCTGCCCTGGGATCAAACTTATGCCACAGTGGCTGTAAATAGGGAGGCCTCAAAGTTAGCATTCCACAGTCCTTAGGCCTGGAGAGACAGTAATGGGTGTTTTATGGTTAAATAGGTTTGAAGAATGCTGTCCTCATTTTTCTGTGTTCCTGAAACTTCAGTGTGTCCTTTATTTAATTTGGTATTGTTTGTTTATGACACAAGAGTTCACTCTGAATGTTATTTCAGTTAGATAAAAATAACAGTCACTTGTGTGTTGAGTACAGTTTTGTCAGCACAACATTGGATTTAGTCAAGTTTCTCAGCCTCCCAAGTAAGCTACTCTCCTTTTCAAAAAAATTTACAGGATTTTCATGTCAATTCTTTCTAAATAAATGTGTTATTTATTGTGTTGTGCTTAAAAAAAGAAGAAGAAGAAACTCCAACCTTAAAGTCTTGAAGGTGATTCTTGCTTTTTTTATTCTCTATTATCTGTTATTAAGCTATATCCTTTATTCCAAACATTTCTTTCAGATTTTCTGATGGATTCAGTGAATATTTTTGACTCTACCTTCTCAATTTAATCCTTTGACACTGAGTGCCTAAAAATATTTTTGAATATAAGTCTCTGTTTCAGAACATTGATTCCTATGCATTAAAAGTGTCCCAACTCCTAGATCAAATCTAAAATTCCCTCCCTAATTTTAGACTCCCTTGCATTCAATACCACCTCCACTCTCCAATATTTTTCAGCATCTACTTGCCAATGTAGTGTCTTCTTTTTATAATTCCATTGGCAGGCCACATGATTCCCAACTCTTGGTCTCTACCAAGATCTTCACCCAACCTGTACTTGTTTTTGCTCTCTGTTTCTGCCTCATTTTCTCTTCACTACAATGTAGGTCACTACTATACCCCAATATATGGGATCATATCTTAGGCAATATTTGTAGGCTAACTGCTTTTTTCTCAAGGACTACTTCAAAGTCAATTCCCCTTTTAACCTACATTTTTCTCTCTGAATTCTTATACCATCCACGTCCATGGTCCATAAAGGTGAAATCCATAACTTCTATCACAATGTATCCCTAAGAGTACCTTGAAGTCTTATGCTTTAGAATAAGGTTTATAGTATGACAAAAAAAAATGATTCAAACTATAGGTTATCAGACACTGTTCTGGAATTTGAAATGGTGGATTCTAATTTATGTTTTGCTGCTTATACAACTCTCTTGTTATACTTAAATTCCCTGAAAGTTGGACTCTTTCTCTAGGAAGTAAGAGAGTTAAACTAAGTTAATTGAAATGTATCTTAAAATTATAGCATTTAAAAAATTTTAAATATTCATAATTTTAAGAAACATTAAATAATTAGTTGTTGATTAATTTATATCATCTTTACCTTTCACAACTCATTACTCTTTTTTTTCAGTTTATTTTACTATATTATTTGTCTAAAAAAAGCTTACTCAACATCCTGAAGTAATAAGTAAGTGCTAGAAATGCTGGAGTAATGAGCACAATCCCTGCATCTGAGACACCTGCCTCTAATACTGTCAATGTGCAAGGTGACCCTGTGACCAAATTCATTGACATTTTATAAAAGAGTAAAATTTTCCTAAATGTTCCACCCCAATTCCTATTACTCAGTAAGCAACACCAGATAATAATATTAATAAAGGAATAAACAGGATATTCCCTAGAAGTGTATTTTATGTGGGGTCTCCTCTAGACTCATGCTTTTAATTATTGTTTCAATGATAGCTATTTTGGAAAAGATGAAGACTAGGGGTTCTGTGGGCCATTCCTTGTATTAATGAAAGCTCTGTTTGGAAATCAACTCTATATTAGATCTTATACTGCCAAGAGTTTTTTTATAATTAGTTCTAAATAACTAACTGGAATTAAAAAGAAAATAAGTGACCAGCTGTCACAAATTTAAACACATATAATTGATAAATTCAAGCTAAGTTTATTTCTATTAAACATAACATCTTTTGTAGGGCTTATAGTATTGAACTCCACCTAAATCCTTCTAGTTACCTAAGGTACAGCATTTAGGTGCATTTTTCCTGTTGCATGTTGAACATGCAGAGTTCCTGAAGCTATAGAGAGTTCTTTGTCATGACAATATCAGTCTCATTATTATATATTTTTATAATAATATTATATATTATTATCAATAGGTAATTTATAGTTAAAGAGAGCCTTTGGGGGGATATGAGGTAGGGGGTGTTTTGTTTTGTTTTGTTTTTTAAAGATTTATTTATTTGTGCATACAGAACTGGGGTACAGGCCAGAGGCTCAGGGGCAGCGAGAGGCTTCACCAGAAACAGAGTGGGGAGCAGAACAGGCAGATCGACAAAGTACACTGCTGAGGGGAGCAGCGGGAGGGTCAGGAGAGGTCTCCCTCGCCATGTGGTCACCTCCCGGGCAGGCGGGAATTGAACTCATGTGGAAGTGGCTTTAGCTTCTCAGTGTTGTGCTTTAACCTGCTGTGCCACCAGGGAGGGACCAGGGGGTGTTTTGTTTTTATATCCTCAATTACTTCTCCCCAGGGGACTTCCAGGCAAATATTTTTAGTAAAGGAGGATTAAATTTATATCATAAAACTAAAATGTATTAGTAATACAAGGTAAGTTTAAAAATAACTTTCTTATAATGTTCAAGTTCACACCATAAAACATTTATGTGAATGGCTCAGTATCATACTGAAGTTATTCAGATATTGAAAATATTAGCATTTTCCTTATTTTGTCACAGAGCAAAACAATTAAAGATAGAGATAAATATAGTATTGTCATAGGGCACTAGAAGAATTCCAGTGGGAGATCTCCTATTTGAAAAGAATCATTTACATGCCAAATGTAAAATGAGCAAAAAGAAAGGCATTCAGGAACAAACAAAGATGATTGTGGATCACTAGAAAATTATGCATAAGATATCCCATAACTCATCTCACCAACGTGTGGAAGAAATGATCTCTCTTAGGTCATCTAGGTCTTGATCTACTTAGAAAGAAGGACATTTTTAATCTAGCTTCAGTTCTGGCTTGCAGAGGAGACATTGTGACCTGTATACCTTTTCTTTTAAATTATTTATCTAGCATAGTTTCACAGGCCTCAACAATAGTTCTTCCTCCTGGAACTAAAGCAAGAACATATTAGCCACGACATTTTTCCATCAATAATTCTTTTACTGTATCAGAATCTACTTTGAACTGTTCTTGTACTAGGGGGTTCAAGCAAGCAGTTCTCACTATGATTCTCCATGCTCACAAATATCTATTATTTGCCTGGTAAGCCACAATTATGTTAGCAAATGAGTCTGATAATACTGAAAAACTCATGTTCAGTTAATAGAACAAGTTTAAGGTGCTTTTTTAAGTCTATGCTTATTTATATCAAAGATGATCACATTTTGTAAATATTCCTTTTGAATTAGCAACACTAAGAAAAATCAGTCACTCACCTGAAATCTGTCAGCCTTTTGGGGTTTGTTTACCTCCTGCAGAAAGCATACACTCACTGGAGTCCTCTTCCTTAAAGGGCCAGCCAGTTGGATTAAGAAATAATGAAGATTATTAAAAATCTACTTGTTTTTTTCTTACAGTCATAATATTCTTCTCTCTGAGGATGGACATGCTGTAGTAGCAGACTTTGGAGGTGAGATTTCTATGAACAGAATACCCCAAACACCCCAAATCCAGGTATTGTATGATGAATCTAAAAATGATTTCAATTTATACATCCTTAAACCATTCAGATTTCAGTGAGCCTTTATTTTAGAAGTATATAATTTATTACCAGCTATTCATCTTTGATATACTCAACAAAAGGAAGTGATAATTTAAATAAAATAGAGGTTTCTTAAGGTTTCACAATTTTAGCTATAATACTGGACCTTGGTTTTAAGAAACTTCCTTTGACATGAACTCATTTTTTCTCCCTCAGAATCAAGATTTCTACAATCTCTGGATGAAGACAATATGACCAAACAACCTGGGGTTTGCTTCTGCCTGTGTTTCCTATAATTATGAAACAAATTAAAATATGTAAACTCAGCATGAGCGGATGTGAAATGAGAGCAGCTTTAACTAGAGGAAATATCATTGTCCCAGTGGCAGAATAATGTCTTATGTTATTATTTTCAGTATGCCCTCAAAGCAACTATTTAAAGCTTGGCTAAAAAAATAGATTAGAAATGTATTGGGGAAATGTTATGGACAAAAAAACAGGCGTTTTTTTCTGCATATAAGTAAAAAAATCATGATGATCATGGATAATTGCCTCACATATTTAGATCTTTATTAAGCAGTATAGTTAACATTTAATAATTAACTATAAAATTTCTAGTTCATCAGCACCTATTAACAATTTACCACTTTCAGCTTTAAAATTCTAAGACAATAAGTGGTATAACCAAGCATTAATATTTAAGTAAAATATAAATTATAGCATTGGAAGCATAATTGAGCTCACAAAATTTGCAATTAAATTCATTACCTGTCCCTTACCTTCACTCTTACATCCCCAAACAAAGTACAATTCTTTTTCTACACTACCTGTGTTTTTAAATTATCCAAGTTAGGGATAATTTTTTATTCCTTCCTTTATCTGTTCCTACTGACACATTACTCAATCACTTTTTCTGTTTGGTTCTACTTCTTTTTTAAAAAAAGAAAAATCATCTAATCCCACTGCCTTAGTTCAGGTCCTCATAATCCCTTTTCTGGACTATTGCAATAGGATTTTTTTTTTAAAGATTTATTTATACAGAGCTGGGGTACAGGCCAGAGATGCAGAGTGTCAGAGGATTCACCAGAGACAGAGTGAGGAGCAGAACAGGCAGATCAACGCAGTACACTGCTGAGGGGAGCAGCAGGCGGGTCAGGAGAGGTCTGCCATGCCATGTGGATCACTTCTAGGGCAGGTGGGGATCAAACTCATGTTGAAGTGGCTTTAGCTTCTTAGTGCAGTGCTTTAACCTGCGGCGCCACCAGGGAGGGCCCCTGCAATAGGATTTTAACCGCAGCCATTTCCTCAAGTTCATCCTTTGCAACATTAATCACTTTTGTGTTCTGACAATTCACCTCCTCCTTGAATCATCAATGATACCTACTGTCCACAGTCAACATTCAAATTCTTTGCCTGGCAGTTTCCTTTCCTCCCAATTTGGCCCTGATCCCTCTGGGATGTCCTCTCCTACTAGTTTCTAGTCCCTATGCCCAGCACACAGCTGCCTGGTCAGTCCCCAAACATGGCTTTATTTTCACATCCATGCAACTCTGCCAGTATGTATTCTCTGCCTGGAAAACCCTTCCCTGCACTCCATCTGTAGAAAGGCTACTCATCTTGCAAGGTAATGGACATTTTATTTAATTTCCAACTAGTCTCTGTCCCCTTCCCTTTTCCATACATTTCTGTGCTTTGTAGCACTTTGTCCTGCCAGTCTGTACTCTATCCATCCAACAGTCACTTTTTTTTTTTTAAAGATTTATTTATTTATGCATACAGAACTGGGGTATAGGCCAGAGGTGCAGGGGCAGCGAGAGGCTTCACCAAAGACAGAGCGGGGAGCAGAACAGGCAGATCAACGAAGTACACTGCTGAGGGGAGCAGCGGGCGGGTCAGGAGAGGTCTGCCATGCCATGTGGTCTCCTCCGGGGCAGGCGGGAATCGAACTCATGCGGAAGTAGCTTTAGCTTCTCAGTGCTGTGCTTTAACCCGCTGCGCCACCAGGGAGGGCCCCCAACAGTCACTTTTTAAGGGCCTTCCACATGTCAGGTGTCATGCCAAGTGCTAGAAATATAAAACGTGAATAAAAGTTCAGTTCTGATCAAGGAGCTAATTTCTAGTGGGAAAGCATAGTAATAAGCACATAAATTTAGTTTAGTGATAGAGGTATGGCAAAGCAGCATGGGGCATAGTTGAAATGAGCATATATATAAATCAGATACAGACAATTAAAGGGGGTACCAGGCAGAGTGAACAACAGCATGAACAAAGGACAGAGGGGATGAGAACATTATAGGGCAACCACAGAGGGAAATGTGATGGTCTGCTTGTGAGTCCTCACCCACACACTTAAAAAAAAAAACAAAAACAAAACAAACAAAACTTCAGAGTAAGACCCAAGGGAAGGCACACATAGAAAGGTTGATAAAAAGTCTGTTTAGCCAGTGTGGTGGCTCAGGGGTTAAGCACATGGTGCTATCAAGCTATCACCAGCCACTGCTGAACATGAGTTCAATCCCCAACCAGGGAGCTAACCTATATGGTGCAGCAGACCTCTCTTGTCTCTCTTGCTTCTTGTATTTCAGTCAATCTGCCTGTTCTGCTTCCCACTCTGTCTCTGGTGAATCCTCTTACTTCCCCACACCTTATGCTACACCCCAGTCCTATATGCATAAATAAATTTTTAATAAAGATTTATTTACATGGGAGATGAAAAGAGGGGAGGAACAGAATGAGAAAGAAGTAGAGAAAGAGATAGAGATGCTACCTGAAACACTGCCTGAGTTGTTGGTACATATTGTAGGCAGGCAAAATCAACTTCTTCTCCCCCTCCCAGTTCAGTTTTATGCCAAGTATGGCTGCTTAACTCCACCCTTATTTCCTAGCAACCCCCCTTCAAGAAATCAAGAGTTATGGCAGATTCGTGGCATTATGGGAGTTGTAGTCCTCAGTGTCTGGGATGCCTTTGTCATAAAGGTAGGGGTGAGACCATAAAATATCAGTGGGTGGAGTTCATTCAAGACATACTTTCCCCCAAGAACACCAGACTTACCAGGGTAACTGCACATAGTTTGGTATTGCTGGCATACACTGTGTGGAAAAGAAAGTAAAAGATGAGTTAAGCAGGAAGGCAGGAAACACACCAAAGACTACATGTGCTGTAAGTAGGGTTATGAATCCTGTTTTCATCAATTAGATTTCACTCATTTGCTCAACAAATATTTATGGAACACATACTGGATACCAGACATTCTTCTGAGAACTTGGTATATTTCAGTGAGCAAAATAAAGCTACTCTGTGGAGAAAATATTCATGAAGCAGATAGACACTGAACAAATTAACAAAACATTTATCAAGTGGTAAACAACAACAACAACAAAAAATGAAGCAGAGCAAGTGATGCAATAATCATTTAGATAGGGCAAGAAAGAAAGATAACATTTGATAAGAGACCTGTTATAGTAATCATACATCCAGAGAATTGCAGGGTAAATGGGGGAATGGTAAGTGCAAAGGTCCTGAGGCAGAAGAGGGCTTTGTATATTTAAGTTCAGAATCACTGAAGTAACCTAAGCAAGGAGAATACTAGGATATGAGTAAGGTCAATGGAAGAGTGAGAGAGTGAGTCCTCTTCGCATGACACAAGACCTCATCTAGATACAAGACACAGTGATTGCTAAATCAATGGTCTCAATTTGGTTGCATGTTAAAATAATAGTGTTTTGGGTTGGTTTTTTTTTTTTAGTGTAATTAAAGCGTACTATCAAAATTTAACCCCCAGTAATTCAGATTTCATTGGGTGGGGATTGATCTTAGATAATTTCATCTTTTAAAAGTGCCCCCATGTGTTTAAAATATAGCATTTGAGACGATCTGACTCAGTAAACTTGCTGAATGGAATTCTAATTTTGCCAGGAGTAAGTAATGCTTTTTTTTTTTTTTATCCTAGTAGAGTAGTCTTTAAGCACAAAATTACTCTAGTTGTGTTTTAAAGGTTATTTTGTTTCTTATTAGTTATGCAACCTTATTTCAGTTTGCTAATTACTCTATTACCCCTTGTGAAACAATGGGCATACTGTATGTCTACTCCCACCCATGCAATGTTGTGACACCACTGCATAATAGGCTACATAAATGGAGGCTATTTGCAACATGAAGGCTCATGTGGAAGAATTGCATATGAGCAATATAATAAGAATAAAGATATTCTTAGAAAGCTTTAATTATGCATTATTTGAAAATAAGGTAGACACTTCAAAAGAATTTTCACCAGCCAGCACTACACACAGAGTTTCAGTAAGAGTAATAAAAGAATGCTGGTTTCCTTTCATGAAAATGTAAAGAAAAAAGATACTTCATAAATTTCAGTAATGTAATTATGGAATCTGGTATTTTTAGAGCTGGAAGGGCTTGTCTCCTATTTTACTCTTAAGGAATCTAAGGTCCAAAGCTGCCCAGAGTGGTAGAATCGAAACTAAAATTCTCATTTCCTGACTCAAAATCTAGTGCTCTTTGTTCAAAACTATTTACATCCCAGAGTAAAAAGTCTTAAAACTGAAAAATATACAAAATGAAGGGATGTATATAATGCTGTGGAAACATGAGAATAGAACTTTCTACAGAAGAACATAACATTATCTTTCTTTTCGAATACTGCAAAAGAGCATTCTGACGTAGCCTGACTAAGAAAACAAGATAAGACAGACTTGACCATGCCCATGAGAAATATTCTGGGCACTCCTCCAAGATGATTTATCTCTGAAGACATGCGGATACTGTTTATGGGCCTAATTCAGTGATGACTTAAACTGCAACCAGAAGATCTATAGGAGGAAAGGAGCCACAGCAGTTGTGATTTACCCCCAGGAAGTCAGAGTTTCTGGAAGAATCCAGAGCCAGCTATTCAGAAGCCTTTAAGGTTTCTAGGGGAAAGATGCACAGCGACAAATAAAAATACCGCAGCTGTGATCATCATCTTATAAGAGGCAGGGTTACTTAATGATTAATATTGTCATGATATTTTTTGAAGAATGAGGAATTGTAGCACCTTCTAATGATATTTTTAAGCGTCCTTTATTGCACTCGAGGGTAGGATAGATAATATTTTACTTTTGTATATTTTGAGAATGTTAGGAGAGCATTTAGACCCTCACTACACCTAGTAGGTAAATGACTGAAGGTTGTTTCTCAATAACAGAACCTCCGTTGGATGGCTCCTGAGGTGTTCACCCAGTGCACACGCTACACCATCAAAGCTGACGTCTTCAGCTATGCGCTGTGTCTATGGGAACTTCTGACTGGTGAAATTCCATTCGCTCATCTCAAACCGGGTAAGCCCTGTTGCAATCAAATGAAAATATAAAAGGGCCTACCAGGTCTTCTTTCTGCAGAATTACTTCCTGTAATAATTTGTGGTACATACATGGATATCTTCCCAAAACGGTGCTTTGTTAGTGAGACTAATTTTTGTAGATAACATGCATTATTCTTTCTCTAGTAGGTAAAGGTGAGGAATCTGATCCCAGGGGAATGAACAGATATTTGAGGTTTTACATAGATTTTATTAGCATCCGTGTCTCCAATGTCATCCTGTTTACTTGCTTTGGTCTATCATTAGACTGCAAACTCATTAAGGACTTTGTATACCCAGTGCCCAGCATGCTTGCAAAGTACTTTTACTTTTATTTATGACTATTTTTGAGTCATAAATAAATTGCAAATCAGTTTATTATAAGCTAATAGTGGCTACCTTGTCACGTATAACAGAGGGATAAAGTCAAAGAGATGTTAGGGAAAAACAAATCTTATGAATATGGATATTCACAAGTTAAAAATCAAGATCACAATTATTTGTACTCATGTATAAAGTAAAAGTCACATTTTATGCTCTTTTCAGGGAATTTTTCCCATAATAACTATTTAATTATACTCTGCATAGAGTCTAGCAGAGTGTTTTTCACAAATTATATGCTGTGTACATAGTTATTGAGTACGTGATTATTTAATTGTCTTAATCTTTATATACTCTTCTTACTTTTAAATGATGAGATTTAACACTTATTGATGGTGTGGACATGAGGACACTGTTTTGAACTGAACAGTATTGCCATTTATAGTGTCTTTATATGCTGCAGACTCTACCTCTTAGAATTTGTGTTCTGAAAAGACTGATGACTAAATTCTACATTCATTATAATTCTAGACATACTGTATTATTTCTCATAAGATATCGATACATCTGACTCCCATCATCCCCTATGTCAATCTATTCATCAGGTCTAATTAATTTTACATCCTAAATATATCTTGGATTTAACTACTACTTACCATCATCCACCATCATTCTAGGTTAAGCCACCATTTCTATCATTTAAACTACTATAATAGTCTTTTTAAGCAGAGTTATTGAAATATAACATCTACATTAAAATTTTTCCGTTTAGTTTAATGGTTCAATAAATATTACCAAATGTATACAGTTTAAGAACCACAACTCTAATCAAGATATAAAGTGTTGGTACCTCTTTGGAGTCAGCCCAATTTTCCTATCTCTAGAACCTAACAACTGATCTGATTTCTGTCCTGTAAGGTTTGTCTTTTCCAGAATGTGATTTAAATGGGTTCATGTTTGTCTGAATTCATTCATTTTCATATCTATGTAATATTTCATCATGTTGATGTACCTAAAATTATTTATGATTAAATCAGTTAGCCTCACTTTAGGACTATTACAAATAAAATTTCTGAAATCATTCAGGTCTTATGGTGGGTGGTTTTATCATTCTTGGATAAATACATATGAGGTGATTACAAGATCTTATGGCAATAGTTTTTCCAAGGTATTTGTATCATTGTGGATTCTCATTTGTGGAGAACAAAAATTTTACTTGCTCCACATCCTTGCCAAGACTTTATAATTATCTATCTAGAATAAAAAAATAACCATTTGAAAATTTGTACACTGGCATATTACTATGATGATTTTATACTACTGGTGTTAGTACTCTTTTCATGTCCCTCTTTGCTATTCATACCTATTTCTTTGGTGAAGCATTTGGTCAAGTTGTAGTATTGATATTTAATTGTAAGAGTTCTTAGATTCTAGCTAGAAGTCTTTTATCTGCTCTGTATTTTGAAACTTTTTCTCTATCTATGGCTCTCATTCTCACATTCTTAGTAAATTCTTTTCAAGAGCACAGGTTGTCAAACTTTTACACCAAAGGTTTTGTGTATCGTGTCCAAAATATTTTGCTTCTACCAAAGCACAGAGATTTCTTTCTAGGAATTTTTCTCCTTCTTATAGAAGTCTGTATTGTAGGTTTAGGTTTTGTAAGTCCTATATGTGTTTCTTTTGTTTTGTGGCACAAAGTATGGGATGAGCTTGTTATTCTTTTGTAAATTTATTGGTTTGTATTTTAAAATGAATATTCATTTTTTTACAGCATGATCTGTTGACAAAGTATCCTTTGTATTTAAAATTATTTTGGGTCATTATAAAAAATTAAATTGATCATATATGTGTATATCTATTTCTGGAATCTATTCTCTTGCACTGATATATTTCTCCCCTCAAACCATTATACTAGTAGTTTATAGTTTAGTTGTGAAATCAGGCAGTATGTATCCTCCAACCTGTTCTTTATTAAATTGATTTAGATATTCTAGGATTTTTGTTGTTTCATATAAAATTTATAATGCATAGTTCTAAAATAATAAAAAGGAAAGATCTGCTGGAATTTTGATTGAACTCGATTGACCAATGTTTAAATCATTTAGATCAATTTGGGAAGAATTGACAACCTAAGCACATTGAATCTCCCAATCAATAAACATGATATAGCTCTCCTTTCTTTAGTGAAGGGAGAGATTCTTTCATTTCTATCACCATGGGTTTATAATTTTCAACATATTGCATAAACTCTCTAACTCTACTTATTTTCTGTTTCTCAATGCTACTGTAAATATAATTTAAAAACAAGGTATTGTGCAGTGGTTTTTTGCTAGAATGGAGTTATAATTAATTTTGAATAACAATATAGAACCCTAAAAATTTTCTAAATTAACTTATGAGTTCAAGCAACTTCTGGTACATTACTTGGGATTCCTATATCCATAACTATATTGCCTATAAGTAAAGAAAAAGTGGTTTCTGTTTTTTTCTGTGTGTCTTTTATATCTTTCCCCCCTTCCCTTTCCTTATCATACAGCTAAGGAGTTCCAGCTGGATAGATTGGTGAGATATATGGGTCACCAGATTTCACCTACCCCACCCTGGTTCAAACTGCCATCTTGATCATTTTAACTACTATAATGGCCTTTTGAGGGTTCTCCCATTATCTTATGCACACTGCCTTCTAAGTTCCTATATATCATTGGAGGGATATTTTTTTTTTTAAAGATTTATTTATTTGTGTATACAGAACTGGGGTACAGGCCAGAGGCTTAGGGGCGGCGAGAGGCTTCACCAGAGACAGAGCGGGGAACAGAACAGGTAGATCAATGAAGTACACTGCTGAGGGGAGCAGCAGGCGGGCCAGGAGAGGTCTGCCACGCCATGTGGTCACCTCCGGAGCAGGCGGGGATCGAACTCGTGCAGAAGCGGCTTTAGATTCTCAGTGCTGTGCTTTAACCCGCTGGCCATCAGGGAGGGCCCTGGAGGGATATTTTTAAAATATAAACTTGATTATATCACCATTGCCTAAAATCAATCTGTAGTTTCTCATGTTCTTGAGATTAATTCCCAAAATTCATAATCTGTTCAGCAAGATTGTCAATGTACCTACATTGCTGCTCTTGTTTTTATCATTTCAGTCTCTGCTCCAGCCACTCCAGCTTCCTTTACTTCCTGTGATGTGTTGTATTTCTTCTTCATGATTCTAGGTCCTTTCACAAGCTCAGTTTCCTCAGTAAATGCAGTTAGAGATCACTCCACAAAGGAGACTGTGAAACTCAAATAAGTTGATATTTGTGACTGAGCTTTGTCAGTGGAAAACTCTCTGGAACTGTAAGATGAAAGATAAGGGCAAAGGTCAAGTCTTCCTCTGATTCTATCCTTGAGTACTCATTCTCCAGAAAACCCATATAAAAACCTTCCAAGTCATCTTGACTTTTCTCTGTATTTTTTCCTTCTTTCATCCTACCTTCCTTTCTTTTTCCAAGCCCGCTTTTTAACTATGTCTTAAATCTATCCACTTAGCTGTCTACACTTCCTTGTTTTGCAAGTAAAATACTGCCTCGTATCTGAAGTTCTCTATTCATCTTGTTGGCAGTTTTGTTTACCATCTTTTTTCCAATTGGAAATAGATTTAGCTTTCTAAGAATTCAGGGTTGTCATTGGATTTCCTTTACATAAAGTCCCAGTGGTTTTCCTTTACTCTTAAGAGCAAAACAAAATTACTTAAAGCAAAGCCTCTCATAATTATGTTCCTGCCCGCCTCTTGCCACTTGCAGTCTTGTATCTACATTTCAGCCACAGGGGACTTTTATCATTTCCCGACGATAACATCTTTTTCTCCTACTTCCATGTCTTTGCACATATGAGCCATTTTGTCAGGGACAATCTTCCTCACTTTTCATCATACAAATTTCAATTTACTTTTAGATCTTGGATAAAATATTACTCCTCCCCACAACATCTTTCTTAATTCTTCAATACTGAGTTTAGTGCTATGTCCTCCATGCCCCAATTTATCATTTATCATAGTATTTACTATCATTTATACATACAGTTTTGCAATTTTCTGTACTCTAGTACCTTTCTCTAATTATAAAATAAATCCTTCAAAACTAAAGAATTCACCCTCTCCTAACACCCTGGAGCTATTCTTTAGGAGGGAGGAGATTACAGAATGTAACATTTAAATGTCTTACCTAAGAATGACTTGATTTAAATATTCTACATATTAGTATTTGTAGTACTTCATTAGAAAAAGTTTATGATGGATGCTGAATTTTTAAAAGGCAGTGAACATGTATCAAAAAAAAAAGAGACTGTTAATGTCATTGCAGTGGTCAATCTAGTATATGTTCAATAATAAATTATATGAGGCATCAGATTCAAAATAAGCTACATATTAGCCATTTACAATGAGGAACAAATCCATGACTACAATGTGGGACAGTGTTATCAATTACGTTCTCAATGTTACACACAGCTCATTGTCCCAGATTTAGCAGAATTCTATCTCCTGAGAGAAATATAAAAGTAGAACACAAATATTAGCATTGACTTCCATGCAAGTCATTGGTATGCATTCAGAAGAACTTGAAGTTAGGGCTTCTTCTTCTTCTTCTTCTTCTTTTTTTTTTTTTTTTTTTTGTTGCATAATTT